AAACAATAAAACTACATAACAAAAGAATGGAAACATCTCACATTTATAAACATTTTAATATTTCTCTTGAGACATCTTATTTCGTAAGTTTAAATTAAAGAACTGCCTTAATTAATAAATTGGATAACATTACGACCGTTATAAAATCTAATATAAGGTGTCTTATCATAAACAAACTTTTTATTTTACTTTTCCACCAGAAGAGCCTGGTTTAGGTTCTATAGAAATTCCTAACATTTCAGCCCATTTATCAGCACTCGGTACTTCTATTATCTCTAATTTAGGAGAATCCTCTTCTATTATCTGACTATTAACCCTTCTTCCCTTTTCTATTCTACGTTTTCTCTGCCTTTTTCAGTCTCTTCTACTTGTTTCTGTGTAATTGGTCTATACGTATATGTCTTCTCACAACTGAACCATTTTCTGCAGATACCTGGTAACTTGATAGTTCTTCTCTACTAACTACTGTGTTTGGCGACAACCGAGATCCTTTAGAAAAACTCCTATATATTAAATTTTTTCTCAAATCGAAATGTTACTTGTGCATTTCGTATTATTTGCTTTCCACTCATAATGTTCTTAAACGCATGTTCATTAATAAGTCTACTGGAATTATTTGATAGCAGAATAAGGTGTAACCCGAAGACCTAACATCATATCAGGGATTTTGAATTCCCATAATATGTCGTCCATCTTGCGTAGCTTATCTTTGACTGTTTCAACAATTCGTTCCACTAAACTATTCGTTCGTTCCACTAAATCCAGGTACTAATGGTCTAGTGGTCTAGTCGTTCCGAAAAAAAAAACTGTCTTCATTTGGAGTTGCTCGAGCCAGCTTTTATATATTATAATATAATATTTTCTTCTGTGAATTTGATAAGATAATCATTATAATGTTAGATTTATCACCATCATCTAACGTTACTCTGTGGATGGAATCAAAACTACAGAACAGACTATAACACAACACCAAAGACTAGTGTGATGCAGATGCAGTCGGAATCTATAGTTAAACTAATAAATTATTGGTTGCCCGATCTATGACCAATTCTAACAAAACTAGATTCACTTCCTCATTGCAATTCGAACGCGCTAAATGGAAACCTACGTCATTCGGCTCTCCTATTCAAATAAATGCAAATCTTCTATTTTACTGCACTCTTGTAGTGTGATCGTGGTCATCACATCGGGGTTGATGGCATACCGAACAAACCTTCGCCATTCTTTTCACACTGCTGCCTTCCTTGTGCGTTCATGGAGCGGACTGTTAAATGCAAATTTTATTTGGTCTTGCCGCCGATCTGCCGCGTTTAAGTAATTACCTTATAATAAAATTTAGATTTTAGTTCATGTTTAGGATTTATAGTTCATTCTAGTATTCTTTGATTTTTCTATAGGTGATCTGAATAAGGTGTCCTCTCAAAGTTTAAGTTCAATTTATCCAATTTCAAGTTCGATCTTTCTCGTAACTGTACGATATTTAGGAGAAATATTTCTAACTAATGACGAAGACGAATTGATTTAATTTGAAATTCTGAAGTCCCTTAATTATAAGTAACAGTTATATTTAGATCAAAACTTGTTTCAAACGGCTGTGGTTTTACCTATTTAGTATTTATTAATTTTCGGTTCTTCCCTTAAATTATAATATGCCTGTCACTGTATATTAATTACTTTTTACGCCAAATATATTTGGGGTAGTATAATTTTGTTCAAAACTAAAATTATTCAAAGCAACAGAAATTTTTATTTATTACTTATTCACTACTTAAAATGTAAGAGATAAATTTAAGATTGGAAAAATTTTGCCTCTATTGTGTCTCCTTATGTAGTTCTGTGTGTATTTAATTCAATTAATACCTCCTTTTTCAGGCAAACACAAAATAATGTATTAAATAAGATCACAATATGATGGCTAAATAATGTAAATTAAATTTTATTCAGGTAGATTATTATCTAAACAAAAACACGTCCAATTAAAATCTTTGTCCATTCTCTAATTCTGATGCGCAGTAATCAAAAAGCTTCTGTATGACATCAGATCAATTAAAACAACTGTCAATCATAATTATCTATTATTTATAGCTGAAATTGAATTGCTTGTATTGCAGGCTAATATCTCAAGATTTATCAAAAAAACTCTAATAAACTTAATTAAAAAGTAAATAATTATTACAAATGATTACTAGATATCCAAAATTGTCTTTGTACAGCAGTGAATCTATTCTATTCTAATAAAAACGTAACCGATCGATGTCTGTACATTGAAGATATATGATAAAAACTGTTATGAGAGGCATTTATAATCGTAACAGAACACAAAACGACTTTTTAATTTTTTGTCTACTTGTCTGTGCGTTTGTGCATGCTTATCTCAGAAACAGTTGAACCGATTTTAATGCAGATCACTATTGTGTTGTGATAACCTTCCGTTAACATTTAGTATAGGTTTAATTTTAATCGGTTCATAAATAATTTTTTTTATCAAGTTGATGTACTGTTTTCGCCAAAATTACTATGAAATTAATTGCATTATTAAATTTTAGCGTATCCATATAATTACCGTGTAAATTATAACCTGTGTCACCCGAGTATGGCGTTGCTTCCCGTACATGAAAGAATTTTTAAAATCAGTTTAGTGGTTTCGAAACCAATTCGTTCCAAAAAATAATGAAATTTTTCCTCTTTTTTTAAGATTAGAGATTAGCGTATTCGGTTTACAATGGGGTCAGCAATTAAGTAAAGTCTTTATAGCACAACAAGAAAATGACACGTACATACATAAAAAAATTTCATACATAACATTCATACTCGTAACTATGTACTAAAGACAAACTTAGCGCTGGCCAGCGATTTCTTTAAAGAATTTGATGAAGAAACATAACAAAAAATAATAGATTGCGCATACAACTGGATAGATAAAAAAATAACAGTTTAAAAATATCAAATTCAGAAGAATAACAGTTGAAACAGCGTATCACTAATACGAGTATATCTTATGTACGATAAAAATGGTCAGACACAAGAGCAGAGAGAGAAGTGAGAAAAAAAAATAACTATCGTAAGGGACGTTTGTAGGGAGGATGACCAAAACATTATTTTCTTGAGTTCCTCCGTGCTTTGGAATGCAAGTAAAGCCGTTGGTCACGGCTGAATCAGTAGTCGTTAACACCCACCAATTCGCATTGGGCCCGCGTGGTGCGTTATGGGCCATTTGATCCCACTCGATTCGAACCCAACCATAGTAAAGAAACAATTCCTGATATACTTCCCACGCAGACGAAGTCGCGGGCACAGCTAGTATGTAATAAATTTCAAGTAGATAACTGTCTCTTTATATGTATACGGCCGATACCTTGCGGGTTGATAAAGAGAAGCGGATTGTCTAATTTTAAAGAAATTCCTTACATTTGATATTTGAAATATACGTACGAACTTCACGGTACAACTAATTGACATAAGAAAGTTATTGCGATCACGATGTCGTTAATTAAACGTTAATTGAAGAAGTCGAAGGTAACCGTTAGACGTAATCGTAAATATCTATTGAGAAAGAGTTATGCTAACTGTAATCTTTCGACGATATTAGGTATCATCATTCGTCTAAGTGGTTTATCGTGCCTGCCTGATCTCAGCGGAGCTCAAAATAATATATTCGGTCGCCTATCTGAAGACACTACAAACACCTCCGCCATTGTATGCCAAACGGGCTAACTATTACAATCTAACTTCTCGTATATGCGTAATGCGTTTTAATTCGCGGCCAATATTAATTTCAGTCCACGGCAATTTTGGGGTGTTGCTTGTCTTTTAAGTGTTCTCCTTGATTGTTTAAATCTATCTAAATCCCTTTCCGACTAGCATTAAGAATTAAAGGTAAACTTTGTGAAATTGTTATCTGCTACTGTTTTATTTTATCAGTTTTTATAAAAATAATAGTATAAACAAAAAAATAAATAATTTTTCTTTGATATCAGAACTCTATAGTTTCAAGAAATTATTTATTCTAAGACCATAAATTAAGGCTTAGGAATTAAACTAAATGAAAATACTGATATGTAAACACATAAAATTTATAATCACAAAACAGGTGAAGCAAAATAGGAATACATATACCACTTTCTACATTAAATGTGCAATCGATAGCATAGCCAAGGTCATTCGACGTACTGCGCGGCAAGGTTTATGCAGAGGCGGCGTAAACCATGGGTGGTAAAGGCCATCGCCCACGGCCTTGTGGGGACCAAAGTGCCTCGCCTCTTAGGGCGATGCTAAACTAAGAGAAGATCCATTAAGCATTCTAGTACATTAGCACGTTTCTAATCTTCAGTCGAGTATGTAAGTTTGAATATCATTTCATGTGTTTGTCAGTTCTGAGGTTCCACAACCAAAGAGACGCGATGCATCTTCCATCAGATATGCAAGACCCTAAAAGTAGAATCAAGTTAAGAAATTTTTGGGAATACATAGCAATAATATGTGGTATTTTTTCGCCACTGTAAGGCCTCGCAATGTGCACTAGGCCTACATAAAATTTAGGGCTGTAGTGATTACAATAACAAAGTATTAACATAATATTATTTATGTTACACCGACACAATTTTTGACAAACCAACCTTTTTTAATAAAGTCAATCTCCATTATTTTCAAATATATGTAGTTAAATAGTGAACTGACACAATCCAGCCCTTTTATAATCTAGCATCCTAATAAATATTAGTACTTACATAAAAACTCATTACTAAAGTGCTTAAATTTTCTTTATATATTGATTTGTTCGTTATATCGTACCTTTTTGATCGACATCATTTGTTTGAGTCTGTTACTTTTTAAGCTGCAAAGTAAATTATCACTACAGGAAAATCTAGGCTACAATATGTTGATAGCAAATCTCTGTGGTTCAAATATATTCAATAATCCAACACATTTTAGTAAAACATCAATTTTCGTATTTCAGTTACGTGGATTAACACTACATTTATATAAAATATTTTGAAACTTTACAGTGAACTAATCATATTTTTCTTATTTGAATCGGTTGAAAATGAAGAAAGTAATAATTTGGGAGCATTCCTCAACCTTGAATGAACTTTGGCAACAAAACTGTTTTGATCTTTAGGCAAAACAGCCTTGTTTATGGCATTCGGATATACAAATGTTTGCTTCTGACTAGTATTAACTTTATTGTAATCTGCAGAGCAACAATTCTCTTTTTCATAAGTATCATTCTCAAATTCGACAATGGTTTGTCTTATAGCATAAAAATTACACGAGGTCTTATCCAATTTTACTATCCGATCCTCGAGATTCTTGACTTTTGCGTTCACACCTTTCATATACGTGTGTGTACTCGTTGTGGTTGCTTTTAAATCGATAAGATCTGTTTTCACTTGGTCCACGTCGTTCAACAAGTTATTGAGTTTTAGTTTGAGTTTCGCTATATCTTCTAAAATATCTTCTAGAACAAGTAAAGGTTGAGTCTCTTCTATATCTTTTCCACCAATAGGATCATTAATGCAGTATTTGCAATTCCAGCCAATTTTGGGAACAAGTTTCTTATATTCCAGAATATTGTCTTTGTCATAACATGGTGCATCAAGTATATTTGAGTTAGGAGACATCTCGTAAATACTCTTACAGTTTTGGCAAGAACACATAATTGAAATAGATCAATGTATTTGCATCACTTGGAACACAAACAAACAGAGCACGGTGTATCACTACCACGTCCAAGGGCAAACTGTTCGTGGTGGTAGCAATATAAGTGGTAGTTTATAAATAGATTACTGGTGGTGACGTATGCTACCTTTTTTTACTTAATTAAATAGTCAAGTATTTTACAATTAATATATGCAAATACCCGCACAGTATTGCCTAATGATTAGATTTGGCCAATTTCGCAAGATAATAAATATCTTAAATGAAAAATGCTTCAAATTTGCACCAGTCCCAGGCAACCCGAGATGAGTTTCGAATCCATAATCTTTCGCAATCTTGGCGACTCCTCTATCTAACCATTGAGCTACCCGACTGGTACTGGTGATAATTTAAAGTAAGTACTTATCAACAAAGCATTGTGAATGCAAAATTGATCAAATAAAATAATTAGAACAAATTTTCATCTTAGTCAAAATTTTAAAAATAATCCTTTCAATTGATTAAGTGGATTGCCTGAACATTGATGAAATTCCCTCCCTAGAAGAAAGTTCTATAGGATCCTAGGTACCTCAATAGTTATAGCAGACTAACGGATTAATAGGATTCATAATGATATACCTACGTAATGATATAAAATAACTATCACGGTTAGAAACATAACACTTTCCATTTGGAAGTAAACAAGTAAATTGTCTTCTTCGTGATTAAATCCATTCCAAAAGTTCTTCAAACGAGTAAACTTAATATACATTTATAGTAGATATTTTACGTACTTCTGAAACCTGATCTGCCAACGTCTCTTGAGTTAATCCTTTGTATTCAGTACTTAGTATCAAAGAAGATATAAACTCGCAAGTTGAATGATAATTATTTAAAACAATGTTTAAGGTGTACTGTATATATATCGTGAACTACTAATTTTGAATAATTTCGTTTTATTATTATTATATTTTGTTTCGGTATCAAATAAATTTTACCATGTTACTCAGGTAGAAGCGTTTGAATCCGAAGTTTTATTCCGAATGTTTGTATTTGTATGTTCAATTGAATATTCAATGAAAACTTAATTTTAGTCCAAGATTTTGTGTGCCATAGAATTTTTTTTAACATATAATTTCTTGTATCTATTTTTTCAAAATTGTAAAATTGTATATTTCAAAAAGTAGAGCTGTTATAAATCATAAGTATTTTTTAAAGTCAATCACAGAAATACTCAAAAGATTAAAAAATAAGGGAACAAAAACCGTGTTGATCAGTGTAATTATTTTCAAATTACGCCAAACGTATGTAATTTAAAGATAAACTGCCAAAGTGTCAAGTATAATCCTTGTTACAAAGTATAATCCTTGTGACTACCTGTGAAAATATAACTTGAAGCTTTAACACCGGATGTACGAAGGGAAACTGCTAGGCCGGAAATAGCAACAAAAGTCAAGTCAAAATGTTCGGAATAATTATTTATTATTAACATCAATAAATACTTGACCTTTATTTTCAAGGAAATTAAGTAATGGAAGTGGATGTGTTGCTTGATATCCGTTAAGCGTATGGATGGAAGTCTGCGTTAGTACGCTTGATCGACAGACAAAACATCCGCAAATGAGCAAAGTTGAATGTTATGAATATTTTGTAAGATTTGATGTCGCATGATAGATGAAGTGGCTAGGTAGCGTAGTGGTTAAGCAGCGCGGCCTGCGATCGCAGTCGTTAAGCAACTTTCGCAAGGGTCGGTCACGGGATGGGTGACCAAAAAATTATTATCTCGAGCTACTCCGTGCTTCGGAAGGCACGTTAATACCCTCCGTATTGGGCCAGCGTGGAGGGTCATGGTCCATCCTACTTAACCATCCATAAGGAAGGCCTGAGCCCCTGCAGTGGGGACGTAAAAGGGCTGGTGATGATGATGATGATAGATGAATATTTCATAAGACATGCACAAATTCTAAATTTTCATTCGATTATTCGAATTTGAATTACTCCTTAAACAAAGAAACTTCTGGTAGACCAATTATTAAAAAATTCAAAATTCCCTGCTGTCAGAATGGTTGAATATGAATGGATATGATAGATAACATTTCACAAACCGGATATTTTGATCAAATGTAATAGAAATACTTTTGATGCAAGATTTGTAATATTCCACAAATAAATAAAAATAAAAACTCAAAAGGGTTTGAATAAAATGCATATAAAAAATACTACAGCTCATATAATCCAAGTTACACTTTCATTTCATCAACAATGATCACAAAAGTTTCATTTCTTCTGTTACGCACCGCATAGAACAATCCATTGGCATACAACATAAAAACTTGTTACACAAATTTCAACATAATATTTCAAAATAAATCACTGGAACAGTATTGTATTAAATTAATTATTTACATTAAAATTCGCAAATACAACTGATATTTACATAATTGTCTTATGAACTCGCTTCTATTTATTTACAAACTTTAATTTTATCAATCTTAACAACATTTGGTCAATTCTTATTCCAAATAAATATTTTTGATTTCAAATTTCGCTAAAATAGGAGATCATATTCGCAGAAGTATTAACTTTATAGTGATGATGTTTAAGTACTATTTCATTTGAAACAATCGATTAGATAATTCCTTCTGTGAATATGGGTAAATATTAACAAACTATAAAGCGATTCTTATAAACTAGATCGTTATTAAACTTGCTCGTACTGGGGAAAATATTTAGGCTACTGAGTTGAGACTATCGATAATATATTTTTGATACAATATGCCACTATTAATACTATTGCTGAATCAGTTGTGCGTTGGAAACTACAACATTTCTTGTTAGAATTAAATATTAAATTTTGCTAATTTTAGTATGCATCGTGACTTTTAAAATGTATATATGTTAACTTGTGTCTAAGGAGCGTCATATAGCAAATTATGCAACATTGTCAGGTTAATAAGCCAATGAGTTTATCATGAGAACTCGTTAAAAATCAACACTGAATTGATTTTTGTTTTTTTTTTTTTTCTAGATTTAAGAAAAAGGTTCACATTCAATTACGATTGTTATTCTGAAAGACGCATTTTTAGATTTTAGCAAAAATTATCAAACATTGTTAGGCTAATTGATCCAAATAACGTTTGTTTTCAATACTTTTAATGTTTGTTCGTATTTGGAATTAACTTGCTGCTTCCAAATAGAAATATCACTCATGTCTAATGTCTTTTAGATCAACGAGCCTTAATGTAACAATAGTAATTGCCTGTAGCTGAATCAGACTCTGAATTATAGTCACATTTGATTTGGTATCATCAGCATCAATTAAAATTTAGAGGAAATTGCTTACAAATGTTTTAAGACCAAACTATATTATCTAAAAGAGGTAAATCTGATATTAAAATATAATTCAAAAATTGTTTTAGCAATTTAGCATGTTGATCATTTGAGTATGTATTCTGACTTTGGGGAGGAAAATGTAAGAGGCAATACATACTATAATACGAAGTTTGTTTATTTTATAGGTGTCTATTATAAAAACAAAAACTGAAGTGGCAGTTATGACTAGATAATAAATGGTTTTAATTACCTATGACTTGTAAAATGTCGAGGTAGTTACAAATACTAGGGAATAGAAAGTTTAAAACACGGTTAGGAAATATTTACGAATAGTTTCAATAGATGGGGTAGATATTAATATAAAATATGCAAGAGTTTATCGCCTAACTTTCTAAGTTGACCGTATTACTTAATATGCTAATTGGTGTTTTGTGTCAGAATGATTATAATATAGGAATAATTTGTTTTATATATTTATTGATTTAAACAACAAATCATCATTTATAATGTTGCTAATATAACAAATTAAAACATAAGCCATGGCGTTATACGCATTTTAATAAGAAGCACCATTGTTAAAAACAACTTAAAGACCAGAATCTAATTATAGCTTTCTAATATATATACAAATAACGTCGTGAAATCGCTTCTCATACCACACTCCTTCAAGAGATCATCGGCGACTAATTAATCGTAACATACAAGAAACAGAACAGAGACAAATCGTTATATATTATGCTGTGATAAACTACTACAAGCGTAACTAAATTAAGAATTTAAAGTAACAATGATTCAAATTGTACCTAAACAGGTTTTCGAATTTAGTTTTTTTAATTATCAGTCGATAGCAGTATCATAAAACTAGGACTTTTTCACTTGTGAATTGCAAAGTAATTGGATGAAATCATAAATTATGTTGTACAACTTCAAAAATATGAATACAAAAACCAAGGCAGAATAATCTCTTTGTCTCTGTTCAGTTTATTTACGGCCGCTATAAATGATTAAGTTTTGCATTCAATCTGTTGATTCAACAGTTTGCGCTGTGAGTGAGCAAGGTGAAACCTACTCTCGATATCAATTTGTCGCATCAACTGAATTTGTATCTACAGGTTGAATATAAGATTGAATCGTCTTAAACACTCTACTCCTGTGGTCACGGTTACTTTATTTGCCTTTAACAAAGCAAAGAAAGTGTGCGTAGATCGCCTTCACTCTTTCCCCGTGTTATTAAAAGTATACTAGCACCTGTATCTATAGTCGAGAAAAGTAATTATTTGAGAAAATGTCAAAACTTAAGCAAATATTATTAATCATTGTACGAGAATTTGAATCAAAATGAAGTAAGAACTGGCGGTAGCTAATTAAAATAGTATTCAAACTTTCAATAGTGTGTTCAAAATCATATCTATTTCACAAAAATATCTGCTTAAAATACGACATAAGATCCAGTTGCACAGAAGTCCATTAAAATTGTCATTAGTTTAAAGCGTGATTCCCATACAAATTTGATATCATTAAAGCTTAAAGGCGTCATCAAACCTTTATGAAAGTTTGTGAAACTGCCCGATTCTCAAGTAATTACTTCTCTCGACTTTAGATACGAGTTTAAATGCTTATGTATTAGAAAGCGATTGAAATTTCTTTATTTTCAGTATAAAAAATAAGCTAATCAAATGTTTTTTTTCATTGAAAATCATAAGAATCGATAATTTGATACATTTAATTTATTTTAGTAGGATTTTCTTGCTCCTAATGGCAAATTATAAATATTTGAGGCTTGCACTATATAATTATTTTCACTTTACTTAAGTACTAATAAATATTTATTTATATTAAGCTATAAGATTTGATAGAGGACAAATTACGAATATATTTGAAAGTCAGGATTTTAATGTCAGAGAAAGGGATAAAGAGAGAGATCTAGTAAAACTTTAGCTTAAGTAGAGTGAAACAAAAGATATAAACAGATCGACAATATGATAAAACTTATAGCAAGCATGCTCTGAGCATAATAGAAAGCCACTAATGATTAAGAAAGAAAAAAATATTATCAAAGAAACATGGGAACCATGAAATAAATTAAAATGTAATGTCAGGCGATTAAAATTAAACATAGAAAGAAATTGATCCCATTACACGTCCTCATACATCTAAATAATTCAGATATTTTCCTAAATATTATGCTCTCAAATTCAAATTACCTATTTACATAAGTTATTAGGATAATAAAACTGAATTTATCGAAATTTTCGTAGTGTTTTAGGCACTATTTAGACAGCCATCAATCTTATATCTTATACAATACAAAGCTTTTACTTAAATTATGTTCTTATAAAATATCTATAATCTACATGTCAATAGGCAGGTAGTAACAGTTTATTTTTTTTTTTCATTTACCTATAATCTAAATAAAGTGTGTATACAGGATTACAATAATTTATATCACGAAGTCAAACTTTATAATAATCTGGAAATAAAAAAGACTTTGACCTCTACATAGTACATCTATGTCCAAAAGCATAATAAATTATGAAAATCAGACTTCAGTGCTAGATCTGTTAAGTGATATTAATATTACTGTTATTCCAATATATTTACTGCTAACAGTGATATATGTTTAAAAGAACTTAACCAATGTTCGAATTGTAAAAATTACATTAGAGTCAAACCTTTTGAACATCGCTAGCCAATAAATGCAAACTTTTACGTGTAAACTATTGTAGTTAACTAATCCAAATATTGTTGTAATATACTATTTGTCTATTCCTGTCACATAAAAATCTAGTTAAGCCTAATCTAATTATTTTAGACTTGGTGCTTCATTAGATTTATAATGTGACGCAACTATTACTTGTAGGTATTAAGAAAAAATCTTAGTAAAAACACACGAAGTTTCATAAAAAACAGTGTTATTTGGTTCCTCGAACTTCAGGTAAAACGTGAACAGACGTGTAGTACCTATCTAACTAACCTAATGCTGATAATGTATTCAAAATATCCTCTAATGTACCGTCTAAAGCGTCTATTGATAAAGCATCATGTATAATCACAACGACGAGTCCTTTCCGCCTCATTTCATTCACTATCTAAATATCACTAATAAACAGTCTGGCACTTCCGAAACTTTGGGGAACAGCGAAGAATACTACGGCTGGCCTTGTCTCGCTCCACGGCGGGGTCCGCGGGGCGCGCCGGAGAAATTATCTAACGTGGCAACACTCATAACATTCACCTCCGTTATAAAATATTGGCAACTTTAGGAGGTGACACCAAAACTATACTTTATATTTCATGACACTACACGCCCTCGTTCTGTAATATATTTATATATTCGTGATTATTTTATTATTTTTATATCATAAGCGAAGATACAAAGTGCTATTTGGTCGTTTATGAAAATCGCTTGGGGATTTTTTTGGCAAGTAATTAAGTTGTAATTAATTAGTCCAAGGAAATACTAATTTCATTTCATTTTATAAATTGTTGACATAGAAAATATTAACGGATACAAAAAAAATTACTTACGTATAAAGTTTTGACGCCACCACCGGATGATAAATTCGTTATAACAAATCAGTATTTCACATACGTAACATTACAATCACACTTAAATGAGTGCAACAAATTTCCCGGCGGCCTCGCTGGGGCGTAGTATTGAAGGGAGGGTCAGAGGAGGGGCGCCGAGTTTCGTCGAGTTCAGCACAGGAGTTCGGAGTTGGAAGGCGGTACTCAGCTGGGTAGAGGGGGCCGTGTCGCGTGCGGAGCGGGACTCGACGGTTGTGGCACTGGTGTTGGGGAATGCGCGGTGGTACTCTCCGGTGCGGAGTGCGTCCTGGCCGCTGGCTGGAGCACTGGACTAGGAGGCCATGCGTGTGTTGTTGAAGTTCTGAAAATTAAAATATAACATTGCGCATCATTTAGGACGACAAAAAATCTTGACTAGGAAAAAGTTTTTAAATATTATACACGGTCTAAAATCATTAGCGACATTAGAATATTAATAGTCTCACTGGGATTCAGGCCTTGTCTTTGGCGTTTAATTTGCAGGAACGCAGTAAAATAGATGAACGGTTTATTATTCTGGCTTGACCAACGATTAAAAGGTGGTAAGGTGAAGATATTAAATTTAAGATCAACCCCCTCATGACAGGCCATTGCAAAAAATACGCAGGTATTACCGAGGTAAAATCAAGGCTTTAAGGTTTAAACTGGAGATGCGCCGAGTTACATTTTTGCCGAGTAACGAGTACCGAGTTTAATTCGGCTCAATTTTATTTTCAAATGATTGGAAATATCTCAAAATCGTGAGCCAGTAGCATCAACTTCATCGTCGCAATCAATTCAATAAAAATACAGCAAATCCTTATCGAATCATTTAGTACAAAATGGGACATAACTGATTCGCGTGCTAAAAAAATTTACAAAGCTGTAGCAGAGATGATCGCTTTAGATAACTATGTTGGAAAATAAGATTAATGAATACCTTAAAAACCAAACACCAAATTCCTAGTAGAAAGAAGTATTATATACTTTGTGATTAATACTGTTGTTTTATTTATATTTACCGAAATATATTGCTTTTCTTAAAAAAGTATACTCGGCATTAATGTCTCGGCCGAGTACGAGTATCAAAAAACCCGCCGAGTACGCCGAGTACCGAATATCAACCGAGTACTCGGCCCATCTCTAGTTTAAACCTTCGAAATAGGAATTTCCGATCGTAAAAACAGTTACTAGTATACATTTTCTGACACATAGAGGTTTGAACTTTTGGAATCAAATTGTTATGTAAAAATTAAATCCTGAGTTAAAAAAATAGGTAGGTATAGGTGAAAGTAGGGTTATGAATTTCACATGGGGTACTTATTTGTTTCTAGAGAACCCGTAACTCAAGAATAAGTGTTATTATCAATCGTTATTAGAATTCTATAGTGAAGTTAATACCGAGTAATAATAACACTCGGTGGTAGCTTCTTGGACAAGGTATTACCGAATGACAGCTTGTTTTCACCATCGGTAATAGCTTAATCTGCGATAGTGTAAATAATGTAATTAAAAACGGATAAAATTTGATTAAACAATTCAAAAGTTTAAACGAGGACTAATTAAGTTACCTAAACATAAACAAGATTTTTTAATTAAGTACTTAGGTACAGACTGGGTTATGGTTTCATGTACTATTACTTTAGTGCTCTTATACAAAGTTAATATTTCATGGTTATTTTAGGACAACAAAATAAGAGTTCTAACGCAATTTTTATACCGTGGAAATAGTTTATTACGATAATTACCTAATTATCTGAACGAATTACCAAACCATCGGTGTTGCTTTTATATAGAATTTTCTTATAACAATAATAAAACTCTTGGTATTCATTTATGCTATTACCGATTAAACAGCGGTTAATAAATTCAATAAGATAATTGTGTAGCTATCACCACGGTATTTAATTTTTATTTAGTGTCGAAAAATAATCCAATATGAAGGAAAATTAAATAATTACAATAATGGCTGAAACTATAATCCACCTTGTGACCTAGTTTGAATCTGTATATATGGTTTTTATTAAACTCTAAAATCCTTAGCAAAATATTGAGTGCACTTACGTATGGTGACTTGCGTTTATATAGACGTGCTCTGGCACCGGCTGGACGCAAACTAACCGTTTTTTGTTTTTCTGGTTTGTTGTGCTTAGTGTGCCACAGGTCCATTCAAACGAATATAAATTGATCTTTCATAAAAGTTTAACTTTTTGTGTAAAATATGCCTGCAATTGCCTAAAACTACAATTATATCACATACCTCGATATCTGCAGATTTTCGACTACCGCGGTAATACCTGCGTTTACCTTATATAAATTAGGGAAAAATCATATACGAAACACGACACTCGTGTACCACTACACCACGAGCTAACACTAATATTTTACTGTATATTTATTTGAGCTCTTATATCGTGGGAATTATTTTCTTGGTCCCGATTTCACTACATGGAATTGAAAATAAATTCCTAAAAGTGTTTTATCTCCAAAAATTGGATAGGAAAATAATAGTTTTATTATTTCACCTGGCATAAGGAGCTATAGAAGACGATGGTGGCGTAGGCACGGCAGCAGTATCTGGATGTAAGAAATTCCTTCGCTGCTCGGCTCGTTCCCAGCACTGCTGGAGACAACGAGCCATCACATCTGGTAGTGTGTTTACTTGGTCCTAAAGTCATAAATCAACGTTCATTTATTTGTATAATTTACATTTATTGTAAGTCCTTGTAAAGCCACAGAGGTAAATTGTAATTATCATCATTTCTGTGCGCGTCGATATAGGATATTACAATATTGATACTATATACGTTTCGATATCTATTTTTTTATTTATAAGGTGTGTAAGGGGGTCCGAACAACATCTAACGGATCCCAAGCCAACCTCACCCGCACGCAGTACAACCTGCCGACTAACCAACGAGGCTCTGTCGCTCCCCACCAACCTGCACTGAGCCAGCGTGGTGGGAGACGGCGCAAAACCCCTCAAAGACATGGAGATCTTTGGGGAGGCCTTTGCCCAACAGTGGGCGTCTCTCGGCTGATATGATTGATTGATACGTTTCAATATCTATATACGATTTGTATCGCCCTCTTGCAACGGCGCCGAAATAGACTTATAGATCGAAATATACATGTAATGAATCCATTGAAACTCATAAAACATGTTTTAATATCAAAACCAAGAAAGTAATGCTTTCTTTTTTGATTTCTTACAAAACTTTATATAATAATGTTGCCACTCGTGTAATCGATACAGTGAAGCTCACGAAAGTCAACATTTTTAATTTATTGATTGAAACTTATAACCAAAATTTTAGAGTTTTATTCTCTCACCTGTAATGCTGTAAGTTTTTCTTCTAAACTAGTCAACCTTTCTTCTATAGTATCTTGCCTCGTACTCATGTCCGAGACTATTTCGTACACTGTATTCTGCGTCTGTAACAGAAAGGGGTCCTAATATCAATCGTTTTGTAGTTCATCGTTCATTGTAGTTTGAAATCACAAATATCTGTGAAATCTGTAGGTGTCAGTTTACATGCGATATTAATGTGTCTGATTACGTATCAGTATTGCGAATGTGTCACGTGTGTATGGCTTTGTTATTTGTATTCATTTAGACAGTGTAAATTATATCGATGAATGGGAAACCCATTATATTAAATTTACTAATTCTACGTCTATCTTTACAATGTACGGTCTATCATTACAAACTATCATGCTTTACCTGAACTAAATTTTAATTTACCATGCGCTAAGCGAATATGTGGTTACGAATATGTGGTACCATGCCAATTGAGGAATTAGGGATTCGTATTTTCTACGTCTATCTTATTAACTCTCTATATGTAGAACTTCACAAATCTAGCGACTAATTTACGAAGCGTTGAAAGTCAGACATCATTTCACAATTTTTTATTGTTGTGCTTTCTATAATCTAAATGGATGTGTTCAAATATGAGTGTAGCTCTAGCAAATGTATTATTTTGTAGATTAACGTACTTTTGCCATATCTGTTATTGTATTTGCGTTGTCCATTAGCTTTCTTTGATCCATCTTAACTTTTCGTAATCTGAAATATTAGAAAGACAAGCATTTAAACTATTTCGCGTTTGGTTTGTATCTATTATTCAGATTTGATAATTTAGTATTAAAATACAAGATGTATGTTTCTGTTTCCTTTACAGTCAATAATACTTTATTTTTATAGTTAGCTGTGTAATTTTCCATAGTAAAGTTATAAACGTGTTTCTTAAATTCTGTTTGTTATTTATATTAAAAAGATGAATTATAATTAGATCAAAATGTATTATTTCTTTAAAATATTATTATAACAGTTATAATAACATACAATACTGTATATACATAAAAATAATTATTGTTTTCATTGTTACTAACGACTTCAAATTAAATTGATTAAAATTAAAAACTCTTTTATTTTTCCAAAGAGGTTTTGAATGTTAATAAGGAATCAACAACGAATGAGATACTTACGCATAAATGGCTAATAGAAATTTTCTTTGGTGTGTTCGAACTCTTCCTGGATGTACTCTTTTCACGAGTCTAGTATGTTTGTATATCAACCACGTTTCTCGAAGAACGTTCGCCGCAGCGTTTTTCAGCTGAAAAATCGAATATCACTTGTTTTAGTACATTTTTGTTCTGAATTCAATTTTATTTATATACGAATTCAATTTATTTGTGTATAGTGAATAGTGACTATAATAAACTCATTATGTGTATTGGCGGTTTTAATTTTAGTTATTATCAAGTAACTTCAAAAATGTTTAAGAGTGAACAATTTGAATGCATTGCTTTTAAACGTCAAGATATTACATGGCCTCTTATTTGCTGAAGATTTCTTAAAATAAATATAATCTGGAGCTGTTTAATTTAAATGTGTTTTATGCCATTGAAGAAGTCAGTAGCCGTATTTAAATTCATTATTTAAATAAAGAGTATTTTATTTTATTGTTTTAAAAAAGTAGTTCAACGTAAGGATTATAAGATAATATCAATTTCGATTTTACGCTGTCCTGCGCCCGGTTGCACCGAGTGTGCTCATGACAACGAAGATTCATCCTCGGATATAGAGGTCTAGCAGCAAGTCTACACCTCTATATCCGAGGATGAATCTTCCTCCCCTCACATTCAGATTTTTCATCTAACTACCCATCACAAAACAACACGAACGATGTCCCTATTCCGCACATGAGCATTATTCTGAAGATTTACCGATTGCGAAAAAAGAAGTTTCGATTTTGCAAATACTGGATTCCACGCTTGTGACAATTTATATCCGTCTTCCCGGTTGTAGTTATTAGAGTGTTTTTTAATTTCATTCACTTCACGTACTACTCTTGAATAAAAGTGGCGATCCGTGGAAAGGAGTTGCGTACGATGATACTCGATCCAGTGATATGTGCTCCTTTCCAGTAGGTGTTCCGCAATGGCAGACTCACTCGACTGACGGTTGTTGACCTACTGGCTCATGTGCGAAATAGGTTCACCGTTAGTGTTGTTTGTGACGGGTAGTTGGTTGAAAAATCTGTGGGTGGAAAAAGATTCATCCTCGTATCCAAAGGCGTAGACTTACTGCTCCAGTCTCATCGTGACCACGGCCGGTGCAACCCGGCCGAAACATAGACGCATTTCAGTGTAAAATGGCGTCTAATATCCGGTATAATAAGTATTTGATAATGCAGCGCGTTAGTTTAAAAATGAATATATCAATTTCATTGAAAACCATGATTTTACATTATGATAAGTATCAACTTTAACTGAATGTTGTATTAAGTCGGTCGATTCGTTTGGTTCTATTTAAATCAATAACACCATTAAAGCCACTTTTATGAAATATTTTATTAGTGTTCATGATTAATAGTGATTCGTACATTTTGTGTTGTTGAATATAATAATGAATGAGCATGACGTAAACGTTTAGCTGGACAAACTTCACATGATTGATATTAATGATGTTTTTATTGAATATTAAACTCGGATGATCCGTGAAGAATTGTAGCGTTTATTCTAAATAACGTGTGACATCAGTGGTTAGCGATTAATGAAAACACAAAACTATTTCTCTCTCTAAGACTTTTACAAGTCTAGCTTAAATTCTCTTACCTTTCATTCTCCTTGTCACTTTGTCAACAGTGACCTTACCTTTTTAGTGAGTTGTGTTTCCATCATGAAGTTATGCACATGTTTCTCAGCTCTAGTCAACTCTAATTTTCTCGAGGCAACTGTCACTAATAAGGCCGTACACCCTGCTCCCTGTTAATAATATTAACAATAATTGTGATGAACTTAAAACGCCGCAATACTTACTCTTTTAGTAAGTTGTGTGTCCATCATGAAGTTATGAACGTGCTTCTCAGCTCTAGTTAATTCTAATTTTCTTGATACAACCGCGACTAATAACGCTGTGCATCCAGCTCCCTGTTAAGTGAATATCTTAATGTAAAATGCAAGCGAACGTGTAATAAGCATTTAAGAATTTTGTCATTCCAATGAAAAGGCATTATTGAAGGCTAAAAATTAAAAAGAAATCAATTTATCAGCTATGTGCTTTCTTTTAGAAAAAAAAATTGATACTGTTTTATTTAATGTAGTAGTCGAATAAGACAATCTGAACTAAAATTAAACGATGAGCTTTAATTTTAAAGCTCTCATAGGTTGTCTTATTTGACTATCTTTTTAATTTAACATATTGTTATTTATTTAGCAGTATTATAATTAATATTTCATATTAAATTTAATTTGGTATGATTTTCTTGCTTAAATGGAATCATCTAAAAATATAATGGTACGAGTGAAAGTGCAAAAATCGTCATTAATTGTCATGATGCATAATGAATTATGAATAACGATGTTTCACACTTTGATCGCCAATTTTTCACGCATAGTTTAACTTAAATAAATTGTGATGGAAATATATCCATTTGGTGCGTTATTCATCTAAATGGTGCACGATTCAGATTAAACGTTAACTTCCATTTAACATTAAGAACATCTATGTTGTCATTTTTAACCAACACTTAACACAAAATACACTATTTAGGTGCAAAAAATTTAATGTACACATCTTTATTTATAATTATTTTTAGGAAAAGTGAGCCATTTTAAAAACAAACTTATTGTGCAATTCAGTGAAATATTCAAGTGAAGAGAGAACTAGAGAAAGTTAAGAGAAATGAAGCATTCCATACTACAAAATATATATTTACTAATAGCTGGCTTTAACAGGGAAATGGACGTTGATATACTTAAAAAATCATTGAAGACGGTACTACGATCGTGTTATCGTCGATATCCAAGATATCATCGGCATCAAGAACTACAAGTAATCTGTTGCGATAAAAACAGAAAAAAATAGTTGTGGTTATTATGTATTGTATATAGTGTGTACAAAGAGTGTAAGTTACATAGAAGAGTGACACCTTTACATTCATCGTGGTACTGTTTGCAAAAAAATAAATCAAATATTAACATGACATAAAAGTTATCAGATTTCAAACATCCAAAAGTAAATACTTTGAACACTGAAACATTGAGAGCTGAGTGAGTATAGCATTGACTGTTATCAAAGTGTAAAGCGATTTGTTTAAGTGTGTGATTGTTGTTACACTGAGACGTATGTTGACTGACATAGATATAATTTAACACCAAAAAAATTCAAAAAATTAAAGCATCCCAACACGTGGAAAACTGTTGGCACCCTTTTGAGTTTGCTTACAATAATAATTGCATACTGTGCACAATAATAATACATCAGTCAACACAGGTACAAAATTTGTTTGCAAGAACTTACCATAATGCCGGTGCTAACAGCTATACCTCTGCCGCAATAAGTGTTTGGCACAATGTCACCAAAACCGACGGAGAGAAACGTAATCGCAATAAGCCACATTGCATTCAGTAGATTAGCGTGTTCTTCGTCGTGAAACCTGAATGGTTAATAAATTTCATAGCTTTACTTAGACCGACCTGTCCATTGATCAAAATGGACACAAATAAACCTAACAATTGTGTGTTCATTCAATACCTACCTAATAAATACGAAATTAGAAAATGTTGATGTTTTTTAAGTGAGGAGGGTTACAAAAAGTGAATAAAGTAGATATTAAAAAGATAAATTCAATGCAGAAGAGTTTGACTTTGATTGAAATAAACTGATAATTGCTTCAAATATTATTGATTAAACGGAACACATAAAATGGCTCACCTTTACCGACCTAAATATTTCCACTAGACAGAGCAAGCAACCTATAGTGCTCATCTACATTTAAGTGACGATTTTCCGATTCGTTCTTGCAGTGCCTAGTGGGGACGCTCTATACGCATGATCTGTTAAAGTATTGATTGAAAACGATCAATCCAAAATTATCCTACTTGTCATACATACCACCATACCGCAGGTGAGGGTAATGCCCCGGCCGCAGTAAGTATTCGGGACTATATCACCGTAGCCAACACAGAGGAAGGTTATAGCTGTCAGCCACATTGAGTTTAGCAAATTGGCATGGTCTTCATCGTGAAACCTGAGAGCCAAAATGCCCAACAAGAACCACAATAACCCTTTTGTTACAATAAACCAGAAAAAAATAATAGCAACTTCGATACAGTTGACGAAACTCAAAAGAAGATTTCGAAATTTTGTAGATAAATGGCAAACTTTCATTTAGCGAATATCTAAGATTGCAACTGTAAATCGAAAGACAAATGTCTAAACAAAGACCTCAAAATTCACTCTATAAAAATTGCAGCATGCCCAATATATTTTAGAAAACAAATTTCCCTCTACATAATTATTTCTAACATTATAATAATGAACTTTAAATACAACGTGCATTCTAAACATTTATTGGTTCGGATGTCAAACGATTAAATACTTTTAGCCATGCGTGATTCAATATTTTTAAATACGTAAAGGTGAATAGGTAGGTTTATGGGAACACAGACAAACATTTAGAAGTAAAGAAGAAACATACAGTCACGGACTTATAAGCACTTAGCTTAGAATAGGTAGAGGTAACTTGTTCGATGCGTGGATGTGACATATAGTGCAATATTCCAGTGCGTGAATACGTTTGGCACACAATAATAAGCTATCTAAGTGTATCGTTCTTACATTGTAGAGCCATTTTGTGCGTTAATGCTTCAAATTTTTTATCATGAACATTTAAAAGCAAACAAATTGTATTTTGAAGTGGTGCTTTTACCATAATATTCTTTGCAATTGCATTATCAGTGCTGAGTGTTTCAAATTCTAGTGTATCACAACAAGCGTCCTCCCTTTTGTCACGTCAATGATCACTACATCTAATATTAAACAGTTAAGTTAATTAGCAGTGTTTTCAATATCTCTTATAAAGCTACGATTGCGGAAATTGTCAAAGTCAAACTCTTATATTTCATTGTGATGATAATGGACCTAGCATTACTATGTAAAATCCTCCATAAATTTAAAAATAAAATACAAAACACAAAGTGGGTTGAAAAAAGCAATATTATATTTACAACGCCACGATTACAATAAAGCCACAGCATGCCCACGTAGGCAATGTACTGGTGAAATACGAATGAACACACAGAAATACTTGTGAACTGGTGATCAACACATATAAAGGTAGTGGAAGCAAAAACATTAAGAAAAAAAAACAATATGTAAATAATGTAGCATAAAAACTATTTGGTAAATAAAAAAACATTATTTTATACAATAACATATTTAATGAAAATAAATAATACATTTTATTTGATCAACGACTTGCTTCTTGTATTTGTAACGTCATGATCTATTGACCAAAATTAATAATACTGATCACATCGAATATCTATTATACTGACCTTTCACATTGTCTGAGCGTCCAACTCGCGATTATCCATAACGATACCATAAAAACTAATAATACAGTTCCTGGACATATCGTCATGAGTGTCTTCAAAACGAACCTGTAAAATCATTCAACTCCATTATAACTTAAGTACATTCATGGGCTAGTAAATTTAATGGTATTTTCGCAAAGATAGTAATCATCAAAACATCTTTTTAATATCGCTACTAGACTAACTACTACTAGATAGTAGTAGTAGTAGACTTGACATAACTCGACACTTGGCAAATAATTTTTTTTTTTATATTGTACTATAGTGACATTAATAGGTCTATGTTTTATTCATAAACAAAAGAACAACGCTGCACCCGCGCGCTGTGTCTAGTACCTATACTTACAGTTATTAACTTTCGAGCGGTTAATCAAGTTAAAATTTATTTCTATACATACGAAAGTAAAATGTAACGAAGTAATAGAACAAGCATTTATATTTCTGATCTTATCTAGTCTAGTCTAGTTTGGAGAGCTTGTTGATGTTTAACAACTAACCCTGCATATTAAAAATCATTTATTGCTTAACGCCCGTAGTACATCGACGCATTCATATCATCATCACCAGTTTATTAACGTCTCTGCCGGGGTCCAGGCCATCTCTACGAATGGAATTGAACCGGGGGAATTTGCCATGACCCACCACGCGGTTTCAGTGCAGATTGGTGGGTATTAACGAATGCAAATGCAGCCGATATTAACGGCTTCACATGTACGAAGGAGCTCGAGATTCTAAATTTTTACCACTCATCCTATGACCGACCATTGCGGATTTGCTTAACAACAATATCGCATGTTTCATGAACGAAATACTGCGAAATTATTGCAAATGCGGAATTTTTGCGTACTACTCGTTCGAGTTAACATGATACCTTGATACCCGACTCAGAAATTGACACACCCCGCGCTTACCCGCACGACACAATCAAATATAATTGACTCAAAATATATTCATATAAAAGCTTTGGAAAATACTATATACATATATTACTTAATTACCTAGTATTAAAATTAATTCTGTTTAAGGCTCCTATACTTCTTGATGAAGCATCTGTGAACAATTTGCTATGCAGCAACATGACCCTGCATATTAAATAGAGCCGAAAGAACATCGGCAAAGACAGTGTGACGTCATACGGCACCTGGAAAAAAGTTTTATTTAGTAAACACCAATTAAACAAAAGCAGTAATGATTTCGTTGGACGTTCACGTCATATTATGAAAATATCAAAATAAATAATATCAATTTTGTATTTTACAAACTTTATACTGCAAAAGAAAGAAGTGTTACTTAATAAGGTCCAATTATGTTAAAGTTTTTGTTTTTTAAAACCAATTATATTACGTATTAATTAAAGTCCACGGGATTGTTAAGAACGCATTCTCTTTATACTCATATATTTACTACCTTTTTCTCACGACTTCGTCCGCGTAAATTATCTATAACATGTCACCTGTGTTTAATGTAATATTAAGTTCTGGACCGATTCTAAGAATTCTTAGAATCGGTCCAGAACTTTCGGAGCCTATTCATTGCAAATAAATAAGCAATTGCTCTTATATAAAATATTAGTATCGATGTAATGGACGAGAGACAAAGAGGTTTTGTATCTCTTGGTCTTTCCAAAGTTATGGACCTTATTACATAACGTTAAAACATAAACTATCTATTTTCTGCCAAATCACAAGATAATGAATTTATCTAACTAGCATTGAACAACGTGAACAATTAATTACGTTGTGTTATAAAACATAATTTTCAACTTTGCAACGTTTCTAATTAGGTCGCTATGGATTAAACAGATAAATATATTTACATTAATATTAACATACAAGGTGATAAGTGATTACAAAAAAAACAACAACAGGACCCTTTAAATTTGATAAAATTTGCATTCATTGATATTTTTACTAATATTTATTTTTTATTGTGTACTTAAAATTTCTATTAACAGCGCTAATGTTACCCTTCTCAATTTTTTAATAATATCATATATGATATTCTTGCACGATACGTGTATACATAAAATACAATATGAAATCGAGAATCATCTGTAACGGGCTTTATAGAACACATTAATATGATATCAGTAGGCCAATTCTGTTTAAGTTTACGTAATAATATCATATCAATAGAATCTCAACTAATTGCGTTTTCCCATTGTAATATCTACCTAAAGTCCAATATTATAAGCGCTACATATGTGTTCCTCGTATATAAATGGTGACCTATATATAATAATATTGGACTTCAGGTAGATATTACAATGGCAAAATGCAAGTACTTGAGATTCTATTAAGATGTGATTATTATGTAAACATAAAGGAAATCAAATGCATGTGTCACATTATAATTATTTCCATAACATCTTTGATTATTTCAATTAAAAAAGTGTTTTACTTTAAAGACCTGCAATACGATTGTCAGAAAATCCGGACTTGAAATACAAACAAATGACTGAACTCACTTCGAAAGCGAATCCACTTAACCTTAACGTGGTATTCATATTTCGTTACGTAATTGAAGTGAGTTTCGAAATGACATAGTGATGGAATATTTGAGATATGTATGTACGCATCAATAAGGTAATCTTATTTTGTTTTTTATACATAAACGGCATAAAAAATATTCTACACTAATATATCTCAATGAAAGGGTTTGATCTTAATTATTCAATATATAATCTTGAAAAACATTATATAAAATAAATGTTTAGGTAGTGTGAGGCCAAACAGTCATGATGCCAAAACCAGTTTTAGATAAATAGTGGCTATGTTGACTGACGTTAAAATCTCACTTATCTTAGTTCAATTCACTCTGCGTTCGACTTGGTAGCGCCACTGGCGTTTCCGAGAAAATACTCAGCTTTCCGATGTACGAAATATGTTTACAGAATCGCACGGCTGCTTAGTTTTTTTTTTTTTTGTTTAATATAAATAATAAACGCCCACGAAAAGTCGGTACCAACAAAAATACCGCTTTCTTACTTATTACAGTCATTAAAGTGAGAAACAAGTACACGATCAAATATCTAAAATCGTAACTACCAAAAGAAAAATCCCACCTATTTACTAAGCACATAGTGACCATTTCCAAACTATCACAAAACATACTAAATATTAACAGCAAGACCATTTATAAATGTCACTCACATAAACATTGATTCATATTCAACACAAATTCAAAACATGCTATGGACACACGAAACATAACGTAGAAAACTTTTAAGAGTCTAATACAGACCTGAATTTGCTTATACATTGTGCCCTAAGGAGAAAACCGAAATAAGAATGTCAGTAAGCAAAATAAGATAATGCAAATTAAATGTAAAACGTTTCAAAAATACGTGCAGCTCTTAAGACATCTAAACGGAAATAAATTTTAAATATAATACAGGAATGCACATCATGTATAATTCGGTTATTGTTCAATGAATTTATCGATGATTTGTGTTCATAACGCACATGGGTCAGGTTGAAACAGCTACTCACCTTGAACCATGCGTGTTATGACACGCAAAATACCAAATTAAAATTGAACAAATGACTAGTTTGTATAGTATATACATACATTTATTATAAAGTTTAGATCCAAATTTGCATTCATGTTACCTTGAACTTCCAACTTAAAGAATAGTTATAATAAATCAATCTTGTTTTTTATAATTATTCTTTAAGGTGAAGGAAGTTTAGGTTCGTTCGTATAATTTGGCCACCTATTTTTAGAAAGAAGGTACCATACTAAAAAAATCATAACTATATACAAAGGCGTTGAAAATCATCGAAAACGAAAGCAATGCTGTTTGTCCACAAACGAAATTTCGAATAGTTCTAATAATTTTTTTGAAATCATAGCTATGAAAATTTTCAGCGCAATAGAGCCAGTTCATTCCATCATAAGTTATCGAAAAGCACATTTCTTTGAAACCGTTTTAGTGTTTCGAAAATAGACGAAATTTTGTTTTCGAAGAAACAGAGCAGAATTCGTTATTATTTTTCTATGACTATCGAATTAACTTTTCTTAAAGTACATAGCTACCGTAAATCGTTAGTTTTATACGTATCGTTTTGGTTCATTTTACTCAATTGTAACCAAAAATTAAAATACATAGTTCGAGCGCTCATACACCAGCAAACAGTAGTAATATTATAGTGTCAAAAACGGTGCTATCAAAGCATTACATGTCAAATCAAATCGTATTTAAAGTAGGTTTTATTTATTTAATCCTATAGCTGCGTTATCTATATTCAACGTTGTATTTTTCACAGAATAGCTACGAAATATGTATGAATTAATTTATCATTACAAGTGTAACTTTGAGAATAAAAAAAATTAATTACAGATATATTATTCTCGTTTGATATATAAATCGGATATCGTAAGCTAAATCAAACAAAACATTGATTTGTTACTGAATCAATACAAACTTTAATAATTAAGCAAAACTTTCTAAGACTTCTGGTTTTCGGTGTATATTTTAATTTGTATTAAAGCGCTACCAGTCAGTTTCAGCAGAAGCCGGTAACGTCAATAAAATGAGTTTTAATTTAGTTCCTTTGAAAAGTATTTGGAAAAAAAATGTAAGTGATTTTATAGTAATTATATTTGAATCAATACTTAAACTATATACTAACTTTCCATAATGGTTTGTCTCTTATAATTTTTGAATAGAAAGTAAGAGAAATTATATTCCTAGCGATAAGTTTTTCATCATTATCTTCTTATTTAGAGACTCAAATTAATTTTCAATGACTCGTGTACTTACGACTTCGACTCCTATCACGCCTCCTTTGTTAGCTAACTTGGTAGTCCAGGTAAAGGTATACTGTCCTGGTATAGGATGGACGGCACAAATGGCTAGTTCTAGGGTAATTTGTGCTATCCTCTGCCACGTCATAGCTATCCTCCAGTCGTCAGCGCAGTTGTCTATCATAAATAACTGAAATATCAGGAAAAAATCAAAATGAATTACATACTATTACAATAAAATATATTAATGTTCAAATATCCATTAAATTGGATTTCAAATATTTTGTTATCGGTTTTTAGAACTCCGTATACAGAGTGTAAAAACAGGACCCCATTAAGACGTTAAGCATTCGGTACTGGTTGTATCTGAAGTCGTTTTCACCTATCAATCCACACTGAGTTCGCGTGTGGATTGATATCATCCCTAAATGGCCTATCATCCCTATTCAATTTAACTCGATTACATCATAGGGAAGGCCTGAGCCCCAGCAGTGGCGGCAGCAGCAGCAGCAGATATAATTTCTATCGAACTTCACTTGGTAAGTTGGCATGATCATCAAATGTTGTTCAATTTGAAGATTTTTTCTTTTGTTAGTTTACTTTGTGTTACTATAACTTGTTTTAAGTTACTAGATATCATAATTTCAGAGTTATAAATATGATCTAGATACAAGAATATTGCCAAGCAAAATTTATAACTTTAGATATGGAAACATTATTTTCAAACTAATTGTGTCAAAATCTCAAAATTAACTTAATGTTTTTTTTTTAAATAAACCTTTTAGACTATATGTCTAAAAGTGTGAATGATAAGGTATATACGACAGATTATGATATTTAAAAATATAAACAGTTTTACCTGTACTTCTAAAGCGTGATACGCGACGATTAGGCCAAGTAAAATCACAGTCGACATTGATATAAGCGTCTTCAGCGCCTGGGAGTAAATTGATGCCTGAAAAGTTAAAAAAGATATCAAGAATAAATAATGTCTAAAAATGATATTTTTATGGATCAATAATCAATTAATAACATTTAGAAACAAAAATATTACAAAAACAATAAAGATAACTATTACAATACACAGCTGTGAATTAAAATATTTTTTTATATTTGAATCGTAAACAAAATTTTGTAGATTTTAATGTATTTATTTTGATATAAATAAATATTTACTCTAAGAATACAATGCCTTTATTAGTCTGAGAGAAAGACCAGCTTGGTATATGTAAAAATTGCGTCTGTATTACACGCAAATATAGCATTCTATTAATCTCCTCGAACTGGCTGTCCAGCGAATTTTTTGTACAAAAGAACAGCACGGCAATTTGTGGCTGGATTAACAAAAAATATTATCTGAAATCTAAAAGCATGTTAAGCTCTTGGTCCTAGTTGAACATACTTTTGTGAACATTCACTAACTCGCATTGAGCACCGGTAATGTATTATGGCCTGTTTTTCGTATGTGATTCTTTACATAAGAAAAGTCTGTGCCCAATCTTGAAAATATGAATAAATTCAAGATTAAAAATGATATTTACCTTAGTATAAACACCAGCACTTGAAAGTTCATTTTCTATTACCATCATTATGATACCAAACATCCCCATCACTAAAGCGTAATCACTTATTCGTTTTCTTTTTTCAAATAGCGCCTTTCTTCTACCTAATCTGAAAATGGAAAAATTTAAATCATTAAGATGCTGTTAACTTTTTATAGCTACAAAGAGAAATATTTTAATTAACGAAACAGCTCCAAAAGTTTGATTAATTCATCATTTCTAAGTATCAATTTTACATAGTATTATTTAACTTTTATTCTTTTTATTAGTTATTATCCAATGACTATATTTTTCCTAATGCAGACTGATGACAAAAACTTGTGAACTTATAACCCATTTTGAAATTCTCAAGATATTTTAAGGATTGAGAAAACCGACACGAAATTTAGTAAAAAGTCTTCATATTTCCTGTTTCGTTTCATATACAGATGTTGCATTGAAAAATTACATTAATGATTTTAAATTTTTGATCTTGTATTATAATAATAACAAGATGCATTATAATTATAGAGAAAGCCATTTTGAACCAGCCGATATAAAGTTGATTTTATTGAAGAAAGCCTCTCATAAATATAAATATCTATTGTGGCTAATTTATTTTATGCATGAACTAATAAGGCAATTCTATTCGAACTATACTGAGGATTCTTGTTCATATTAATTAGTGCCTATTGGGATAAAGGAAAAGCTGGAAAAGTATCCCGAATTTGATCACAGATCTCATTATTAAAGATATTTATTAATTACATCTTTTATTAATAACATGGATTATGTGAGGAGCTTCATGGGGCTTTGGTAATCGCACATTTATTATCTCGGGCTCCTCCGTCCGAAAGGCATAATAAGCCTAGGCATAATAACCTAGTTGCATCTGCGGTTGTTAACACCCACCAATCCACTTGAAGGATAGACAAAGAAGGCTTGAATACTAGCAGTGGGAATATTAATAGGCTGATGATGAATAAATTATGTGGTTAATTATTTAACTATAGGAACGAATTAAATTGCGAAAAGTAACGGAAAATAAGACTCATATATTCCTAGCGAAAACTCCCTTCTTATAAGCAACCCCGAATCCCGATCAAGACAAGAGTAACTTATGAGGTAAGTTGTATTCCTCAAGTGATAAATTAGGAATTTACAGCTTGAAATTTAATTTTCTTCGTCCCTTAACTGAAGTTTTAAGTGCCGCATTAAGTATTTGTCGTAGTAGTAGTTTAACAAATTCTGGTATTGTTTTTATCTTTAAAGTATCATAAACAATAAAACACCAGTGATCATCAATGGCAAGACCATAAAGACAAATAATTTTTATTAGGATTAGTGACAATATACTAATCGATCGCCTACCTGAAAGAAAACAAAGGCTTATTCCCCTAGTAGATTGTTACAACGTTTTTACAACGCGGCGTTATAAACAAGTGGCGCATTCTATAATTTTTATTTTGCTTTCAGATCATTTTTTTATTGAAGATAATAAATTTGAAGTTCTTTGTTTTTCAAATAAATTTTTGTAAGAAAATGAAAAAAAAAACCGAATACATTGTCAATCTTTTCACATACTCTTTTGTTCATAACATTTATATCCTTTGCTATAACTTTTTTAGCATAAATATTTCCCAAATAATTGTTTTTGGTATACAGTTTATGTTAGCATTATTTTGTTTTCTCGGTACGAAAAAACCGATCAACCGTTTAGAAATGTAACTAAAACAAAAAGTAAAAAAGTGAGAGAGAGATTGCCGTTGCAGTGCCCAGCGATCGCCACAAAAAAATCTGTTAAATTTATGGTTCAGGATGTTATGCTTAAACAATAATATAATGAAAAATGCTTAAAAAATCCACTTAGTCCCTGGCACTCTGAAATGGGACTCAAACCCATGAACTTTCGCAATTTTATAAGAAGTATGCTTAAAATAGTGTTAAGCGTATATATAAAGTGCGCCATGTATTATGTCTTTAAATTTTATGCAAATCAATAGGGAATCGCTTAATACAGATGTAGGTTGTATCGATCGATTTCTATATTTGTTTACTCATTCTGTCATCACAACCATGAAACTATTTAGGGTTCTATTTCCATTACTCGATAACAGTCTATCCAGACAGTTTTCGTGCTAACGTCTACAATTCAGGGATTAACTTTATTGATGGGACGTCACACCCACCCGTTGTTACCTTCGCTTTCACGAGATTTACAAGTGAAATTGCCTTATTTGAATGGACCGTAAATCGGAATTATAATTCAAAGGTCCCAAGGAACATCGACTCGGAATCTACATTATATGGGAATATTAATGATGACTTCGTAATTGACCTCCATTGGGAATGATCGAACGATAAATGGCAAACAATAGTAAGAAAATATCTCGATAGACCGAAGTTAATAGTCTTTGTTTCAAACTTTCCTTTGACTGATCTGTAATAATAGGTGCTTTTATAACTTGAGGAAATCCAAACGGTAAACTTTTACATTCGACCGCGTTACAACTTATCCTGACAACTATTTTTTTGTGTATTTCATTCAATATTAAACCTTTTGTAGTCGAGAATATCTCACATAATATGTAGGAAAGCAAACAAATATTATATAAATGGAAATATTGAAGTAATAGACATTGCACTTTAATAATTCTAACAGCTTATTTAATCGATGCGGCCCTGATGCAAGCTATTTCCGTTCGTTCAAGGCTCCGTTAAAACATTCTCCGTTAAAACATTCTCCGTTAAAGCCATTATTAAAAGCTTTCTGAGCTGCGTGCAATACGCGGAACCAAAAACAAGATCGAGCATCGATAAATTAGTTGTAACATATTGTGTCAAGTAAATTGTATTAAACAAGTGACTAATCTTTGTTTTCATCAAATATAATTTGCAATTAATGTTTTGTTATTTTATATTATGTTATTTGTTAATAATTATTTTTTGTGTATATGTTACATTTAAAAATTCACAGGTCATGTGACATCTCAAAATTGCTACACCCTTACAGGGATAATTAATCTTCGTAGCTTAGTTAGATAGCGATTCAATACACAGCCTATGCAGTATGTGTAAAGTAGTAGATTGTTGGACATATGTAATTACAAACGTTAAGTCTTTATTTAAATTTTAGTTAAAATAAAGAGCGACTATATTAACTCAACAAAAAATATGAAAGAGCAAGAAAAAATATGTAACAATCGTTCGAATTCATATTTGCATTTAAAATTGAAGTTGCATTTAAAATTTTCGTCTGTCATCGGTCGATTGCTTACAGGTTATTTAAAATCTACGAGTTATTCAGAGAAGCAGCAGTAGATGTATATAGACGATATATATTAGTCTGGAAGTTTTCGACTGCCGAGTAATCAATAATATTTACTAACAAACTTGAACATGTTTGTCTGTTAATTGTTTGAGAATTCGCTGGTAAGAGTTACTTCCTATCAAGTTACTGTTTGTATTTATAAACTGTTAGTGAAACATTTCAACTAAACTGATGAAACTGCATTATACAACTATTTCAAACTTCTACCGTGAACGTGATAAGAACTTGATGGCTTTATTTAAGATACTTAAATCAATCGTTTGTCTACATTTAGACACTGCATATTAAGTGGGTTGTCCTAGCCAAAAAAAAATAGTCGAAAGGTTGCACTAGACTGGAAATTCTCAAAGCAAAACTCTAGGGGATTTGCCATTCGACGGTACGGATTGCAAACTCTCTACCGAGTCACCATTACGTACAACTTTTACATAATGGTGCCTCGAGGACTTTACAATGAAGGTCATAATTGTCCAAATTTACTCGTGAAATTGACCCGATTAGTGACAAAAAATAAGCCCACTCATCACATAAATTTTAAAGAAATATCTCTTATGGCACTGTATAAAAACACTTATTTTCCTTTAAAACAATTTTATTTATCATCATCACCCTCAGATTAGGAGGATGGGCCATAGCCCTCTACGCTAATGCAGTCGGGAGCAACGGCTTAGCGTGCTCGCCTAAGCACGCAGTAGCTCGAGAAAATATTTTTGGTCATTCATCCCGTGACCTACCCTTGCGAAAGTTGCTTAGCAACAACGACTATGGGCGGTGGCGGTTATTCACCGAGCTACTCACTTTTATTATTTTCTTCTAATTAGTTACGGGGTTCGCTGTAATCTGGAATTTTTACAGGGGTTTGTGGAGCCAAAAATTTGAGAAGCCCAGCACTGGATCGTTCCGTCATTAACCAATATTGGATCATGCCGAGCAAAAAGAAAAATACAAACGTCCCGAGCATGACACGATCTAATTTTATTCGGTGACGGAACGATTTATTGTTGTTGTCTATACAATTCAATACATATGTTTTTGTGAACAGATATTGTACGTATATATAAAAGGCATTATACGGGTTAGTATAGTGTAGGACGTAGTGTATTATTTGTTTTCGTACTCGTTATGCTCATATTATGGTCATAATATGTCATAAGATAGTAATAAAAGTTCTTACATATGTTAGATATGGAATAGCTTTAAATATTTAAGTCTGTAGTTCGTCATATCATTATAATTTCACCGTACAAAGGTGGGCAGATACTATAAATTCACTCCAACAGCAGTGGTTTTAATCCACAGTTGGTTTGCGGTTTCGGTGGTTAATCGAAATCTGTACCTGATTGTTATCCCTGTATATCTTTGCCATTTGGTATTTTCAAAATAGCACTGAAAATTAAGTTTGTATGCATTTAAAAACAGAACTTGTACACGATTATATTATTACACACGATTATAATATTAGCTACTTAATGGAACGTTTCTACATTGCTTATGAAGGTATATTATTTGAATTATGGTTCAGTTACATTAGTCGATATGGCGGGGCGCTTCTACGGGCACATCTCATTGTCCCTCAATAAAAAATAACCGATCAATGAAAGCAAATCACAGAAAACCCACAAGCGATTAATTTGAATTATTTATTTACGTATAGTTAGTTATAACTTATTACATTTGCAGATTTTATTGTATCATTGTTCAAATGATAATCATCATTCATATTAATTATGAGAACATCTAAGTGATTTTTTGGTTATTTAATAGTTCATAGTTAATTACTAGTTTAAAATATTCCATTCTGCCAAATCGAATTTCTTGTAAATAAACAATAGGATTGTATACATTTCCATTGATGTTTTTATCTGTGAATCACAGATTTATTGACCCGCATGACCAGCTATTGCTCGAATGGAACTATATAAAATCGTTTTCCAATGATCCCTGAAGATGAATATCGGAATGAAAAGGTTAAATTTATAGTGATTTTAATGCTATTTAATGTAAAAATACTCAATTTCTTGGAAATATCAATAAATTGTAAAAAATATCTATCTAAATATCAATAAATTAAATAAATATCAAAAAATATACACATAATTTGGTTCCAAGATAAATAGCTAAATCTCCATTTTATGGAGTATCTGACAACAAAGGTACCACAACACCCAGGCCCAAGACAATATAGAAAAGATAATTTTCTACATTAATCCGACCGGAAATTTTTACAATAATCGCAATGGTTTACTAGTAATTTATTATAAATAGTTCTTCACCACCATCTAACTTATATAAAATTCGTTCATGTTTTCTCTCCTGAATTGAATCTAAGCCTTAATGTATAAAATGAATAATGTAGCAGGTCATTACTAATCTAGCTTCTCTTTCACACAAGTTCTCGCGGGTGCTGCTTCTCATACTTACATTCCTCATACTGTTTCTTTCTCATAATTTGTCCTTTTATTTTTTGTGATTTGTCATTACTATTTGCATTATATATTAATGTATAAAGTACTAATAAATATTAGCACCTATTAAAGTTTAAAGAATTGAAGTTCCTTTCCCACAAAGTGACAGTTATGTTTATGGTTTCATATAGATCTACGTTTCCTTTGGTTTCTTGTATATCCTCTCACATCTTTATTATGTGCTCTTAACCCTTTTGTTTTATCATTATTACTAGACCCTAGATACTTCTGGTTTACTTTGTTAGCAGGCGAACGAATAATGTGCGGTTATACATATAAGATATAGTATTGTTTAAGTGAAACGGCGAGTTTCCGTGCTAAATGAATTATCTTAATTAAACTGTTTCTAAGTTTATTCAAATAGGAGAAAACGTGCAGCTCTAGCAAAATAAAGATAAAAAAGATAAGTGTTTAGATTTTTAGCAGCAGCGCTTTATTAATGTATGCATATGCAATATATTTCCTTGTTATCAATTAGATAATTATAAATAAAATTAACAAGTAATAAAGTAACTTCCATATTAATATTATGAATCGATAAATATGTCTCTTTGTTAATACCTTTCATTCCATGGCACAATGGAATAAATTATTTAGGCTTTTAGTTCAGATTTTATCCAAGGTATGTTTACTATATAACCAAAAAAATGTTGTCTTTTCAACATTGTGGGAGAAACTACGGGTAACAGAATGTACTAAATTAAAATTAGTAATATTAAAACAATCTGCTATACGTTAAAGAAGTATCTTCAGTCAGACCTACCTAGTCTTTGTTTTCCAGTCCATGGGCTCCACTCGGGGACTTTACTGTCCCAACGACCATCTGCCCTAGGAGTTATGTGCCCTGTTTATTGCCTCGTCAGACTAGCAATTTTTCGGATTTTGGTTGGTCTGCGAATCTTCTCATTTTGGATTCGAGCTTGCAGACAGACTCCAAACATTACCCTATCCATCGCTTTCTGGGTGTCTATGAACTTTCAACGAGGCCCCTATTAGGGGCTACGTCTAGTAGGCAAATAAAACCAACCAATGTTTTGACAGTAGAAACAACATAAGCTTCTTGCGAATAACCAAATGAAGTGCCATCATTTAATTGAGCATTCTATTTTTTTAATTACTAACCTATATCCTATGTTAGGTTTGTGCTTAGCCGTCCCTCCGCCCTTGTATGTGCCGCCGCCGAGTGCCCGCTCTTCGCCAAAGCGCGGGTACTCGCTGTGCACGCCGACAAGCGCGACGCCGGCCTCCTCTCCCGCTGCGTCCCTCCCCCCGCCGGAGTACGCCTTCATCGCGCCGGGAATCGACAGCGTCGAAACCGGTTTGCGCAGCTGAAAATATAAAATTAAACAAAGTAAGCTTATGGTATGCAAGTATTCGTATCGATATTAAGAGTTATTTTCATTAGTCAAAATACTGCGAGTTGGGAGCTTTCAAAGAATATATTAAGTAATATTGTATAGACGCAATTTAGATCTCATTTATATATAACGTTTAGTCCTCAATAAACTAGCGCCATGAAATGATGTTAAATTTCTAGTCCTGTTAGGTTGCTGATCTTACACATATAACCCTGTATAACCAACTTGTTCTTGAAGAAAAAAAATAGGAGGGTAATGTGGAGTCTTGGCTTAAACTCTCGCCCTTCCAATTTTGATTAAACTCAAACAAAATTTAATAACACTGTAACGGCATAGATATATTTTGATGTAGTCAGCCGAAACAGTGATCTCATAAAAAATTACATGCGATAGAGTTTCCACAAAAAATGCCAACAATCAGTATTTTACAACATACTCAACATACTTTGTTTCTCTACCCAAATAACAAACTTTAAAAAAGAAAAAAGTTCCGACATTGTTACTATTTTACGAGAGTCTATAAAAAAGACAATTGCAAAGGTACTTTCAAAACTTATTTTGTAGATACTTGATGTATTTTATGAGACCAACAAGCAAAAAATGGGAAACGTGGATGTAAGATCACCCAAGAGTCATCCTTATATAAAAAAATTTGCTCTAGTAATTTTTGAAAAGTCCTTTAATAAGGAAAACAGATACAAACTTATTCATAAATTGCTTCTAGTGCCTGCTCATGACTCCATGTACTTGAATATCCGATTACAATACCCTAAGGCTTTGCATAATCGTCGTGTAATCAGTACGTAGTATATTTATTTACTAGCGCGTACGGACTGCGTTACGGTTAATAAGCAGCTTTCGCAATGGTCGGTCATAGGATGGGCTATCTCGACCTCCTCCATGCGCGTCCGACCTTCTTGCGCTTTTGATCTGTTGGTGGTTGGTTACATATGCAGTCGTTAATACTCACCAATCCGCACTTGTGCCCCGTGGTGGGTAATGGCCCATTCACTCTGAGCCCCAACATAGGGGACATAAATAGGCAGGGAACGATGATAATAATTAAGTACTAATATTAATTAGTACACTTCAAGTTGATACTGAGTATAAATAAAAAAAAAAACTTGTTTAATTTACACAGCGCTACCAAATCTTAATAAGAACCAAAATTAAATTCAATTCTCGATTATGCTTGATACTTTAATTAATTGAAATTTAATGTTTTTTGTGCCATTCCATTTCGGCAAATAGTATCCAGCAACATTCTATTAATGACGTGTTCAATGTGATTTCATGTGCAATAATGTAAATACATATATGTAATAGAATGACGCCTCAATTTAACGAAATTAGTGGTAAATTATCGCAAATATTATTTATTATCTATGCACAAATGTACATAGGTGGACTCAATGCCCGATTTTATTATCCTGGTCATACTGAGAAATGATCTTAGTTTTACAAATTTGAATTAAAATTTAGCAACCAAAATTAAAAATTCTGGCGCTAAATTTGATAGTTATTAATTGTCGTCGTGAAATAGCAGCATATAGTTGTGCAAAGATTGCAATTAATATGGTGATTAAAGTTGTTACGTGTATGTAATGCCTAAATGTTCTAAGGAGATTTTTATACGATAGAAATGTTTTATTTTTAAACTATGTTATTACTATATAAACAGGGGTTAAAGTATAAAATTGCCGATTTGTACGTGGAATGAAAGTTGTTTTATTTTTTAGTTTTTAACAAATTTATTTAATCAAAATAGTTACCATTATTATATATACATTGCTGCCATCTAATAGGAAGGTCATTTATGCCTTTGCGATAGAACTCTGAGGATCTAGACTGCACAAACTGTGTGAAAGCATTTTGACACAAACTGTCGGATTTTCGCAGTATCCATCTTTCTTGTCCAAGTTGAATAACAAAAACAATTGAAATTCGATATTCAAATATTTCAATTTTTTTAAAAGAACACCGTCATAGAAACCATGTGAAAAAAGTTTTTTTTCGAAAACCTCAAACTATGAAGATTCTTTGTCAATTCAAGGAACCTATTACAATAAAACAGCAATTTCATACTTTAACCCCTAATACTAATTAAGTCCAATTTTTCAATTTAAATTAATATTATTTATGAAACTATTCTAACTATTTATTTTTTGTATTTCTTACCGTCAATTTACATTGTCAACATTATATTACGTTGTTTGCATAAATAAATTGTTGTGACTACTTTCCATAGCTATAAATAACTCAATAGAGAAAAATGTATAAATATAAAGTATGAGTGTATATGTGTATAAAACAATAAAAATATTTATATTACATTTTTATCGTGAAAACTGAATATATTATAACAGTATTTTTTTAAAGAAAAATAATAACCCTTGCTTTGATACTTGACGATTTTTCTTAGCACAAGATCTCTCACCGTTTTGCGATTCAACGGCGTAGCTTTTTAATTTTTTCAAGTATATGTTAACAACCTACTACGTCGGATAAACGAACGCATTTGTACATTTTTCATCAATTCAAAGTCATAATATGAATTCAAAGGATAATGCTAAAAAAACCCAGGCCCAACGCAAATGAAATGTTACTCATATTAAAGATATAAATGAATAAGTAAATAAAATAAAAATAATTATCTGATTAATACTATTCTTTTATTCAAGGGAGGCAAACATTTAGTTTTTGTGCCTATATCATGGGCATATTGTATTACATAGAATGGGATAGACATCAAGATCATTTTTGGGTGATGTAGTTTTAGATATTGCAAATCAATAAAATATTATATTAAAATAAACCATACTTTCGTTTCGGTTTTCTTTACCTTTCATTATTTTAATGTTAATTTTAATATATAATAATTATGTTACGTTTATAATAATATACTCTTCCAAGAGCAAGTTCCCAATGCTCTATTTATGAGAATCTTTGAATAAAAATATCACATATTCAGCCATCGATTTTGATTATACCTATGCAGTATTTACTTATTAAAATATACCTTTAATATGAGTAACATTTCGTTTGCGCCGATCCTTAGTTTTTTTCCATACATGTTGAGCATTGTCTTTTATTTCATATGAAGGAATTCGGTATTATATTGACATAACTAATAATGTTCAATCAATAGGTCTAGAGGTTTTAAAGTGAATCGGCTCGCCTGTAAGGGCCTGTAATATTCTTTGGAGTTATGGACCCTAAAAATTCGGGTCACTGTTACAGTATCTGGTCAAAGGTTCCATGATAATATTGAATGATATAGCGGACGGCACGTAGCCGGTCCGGTTTAACTCGGGTGATTCCAACGTAATGGTTTCGTTCGTATAAAATAAGGGTTCGGACATTCGATATGATAGAGTTACGAACACCGCACTGTGAAATAGGAGCACGTGTGGAACAAAACGAATGTATCGAGTCTGATACTTTAATGGTTGTGCATTTATTTTATCCGGATTTATATCCGGAGTTAACGAGCTACTTATGTATCCGGAATATTGTGACTTTCAAATGGCATACATTCGAAATAAATGATATAAACATTTGTCAACGAAAAGAAGATAAATGTAACTAATTTTCCGGCATGGATTCAGAAATATTAGGAGAAAATAAACAAAGTCATCATTCGATTTGGTAAAAGTGATATGCGTGTGACAAAAATAAACAAGAAAATGAGTCTTATACAAATACCATAAGTATGATAGGTGTTCCAAAAAATATGAATAAAAGGCTATAAAATACGTATACCTATTTATTTAATTTCAAATGTATAGTTATCAGATTATTTAAAAAATTTCATAATACTACCTCAATTGGACCTTATGATATTTTATTGCCTTGAGCGTGTCAAAATATGCATTTTGAGAAGAATAAATAGCCGTTTTTTTCTCTGCTTCAAAGGACTGTAGATTTGAGTATGATTTTAGTTTAAACTTGATATCTCTAAGCGTTGCTAAAATTAAGGGTCTTGACAAATAAACAGGCAGACTAACATCAAACTCTGTAAGGGTTCAGTGTTTCTCTTTTTTCAGTTATCGAACCCTAAAGAAACTTTATTTCATTTAAAGCATATATTATGTAATTGAACTACCGGCTAACTTGAGTTTTAGTGAACATTTTAACCGTCCTAATGTCGTTTTCAAAACTTGTCAATCTTACAAACTAGGGACCCGAGACCGCGATATCTTTTCTATCTATCTAAATAACTTTCTTATCTAAAATGATGAAGGTTAATTACTTTGCGCTCACATCCCGTTTTTGTCGTCCTAATTGTACCAAACTCGTGTTGATGGCAAAAACTAAATTGCTACTTCAACTAAACGGGTAAAACTGTTAGAGTGGTCAAATGAGAGGTTTGATCACTTAATTGGGACGCTTAGTGTGATACATAGTATCTACTTAATTGAATATAAAAATATTTGCTATTCAACGAATTCATTTTCTCTTTACTCTCAATTATGTGTATACAAGGTTTAATGAAATTTTAGTCTCTAGAATCAATTTTGTGTAATATTAATCGTTTCAATATGATAAATGCAAATCGCTCGAAAAAAGTTAAAAAGACAATAATACAACTTACACGATAACATTAATAAGTTATTTATAATTAAATACGAGTATTATGTTGTAAATAAGTTATTAATATAAATTAAGTCTTAACTTAAAAGATTTAAGTAAAAATAAACTAAAACACGCGACAAAATCAATCTGAGGTCAGGCTCTGCTATACTAATCTATTGAAAAAGCTTTATTAAGTTTTCAAATAACCTGCATTTGATTAAACCTCTACGCTCTGACAGCATAGTATTGATGTAACCTTAAGATCGAAACACGATTTATCAAAGACGGTGTCGTCGTTTGTCTTGCTCTCACGTATTTTAATGTCATAGAGCCTACTCTGTTCTAACAGAGCACTATTATTATTTTTGTGTTTTTGATAATTTTCTAATGTTTCCATAAGCTGTAGGCGTTATAATAAATTTAAATAATGTTTATAACGAAAAATACGTAACCAATCCTGCAGATACACGATGCCAATAACTTTGTACAAGTATATAACAAAAAGTCGTTAAAATACAATAAATAAAGGATGATTTATGGGGCCATAGAAGACAGCGATACTTCAATCTGAATGACGCGTTAGCATATTAATATCAGCATAAGATTCGAAAAAATTGGAAAAACATGAGCATTTAATAATATCATATTTCATTGTGATATGATGAAAAAAAAACAAAGCAATATTTGTTATTTATTCACACATAACATAAACTTCTTGTATAACAGATTCAAATGAATATAATCCTAGCCAACATCCAGTTTTGGTGTAAATGAGTAACATTTTATTTCGCTCTTAAATAAATCTCCACAATACATATTTATGCTATGCTAATGCAGCATTTGGAATGAAGGATCTCAGAATTTCATTACGTTTTTACTTCATAAAATTAAAGGAAAACTATTTTTTTTTCAACTATCAAGCTATCAATGATAGAATAATACAGGTAAAATAGATTTTTTCAGTAATACTAATGGTAAATTTAATGGGTCAATATTAATATATTTTAAGAGCTAAGATAATTGACAAATCCTTCAACGGAGATGTCAAACTATTAGACAAATCGAAATGATAATATTATTATAGAAATTTGCTAAGGAAGAATTTTTAATGCGTAATCTACGCGGGCGAAAGATAGTTTTATGTTAACGTCATAGATTATCTTATAAAAAATCAGTTGACGAAAAATTAATAAAGCATTATGAATTCAAGAAAATTAAAAATAAATTAGTTTAAATGTTTTCGTTTAAAAAATACTTTTTTAATAAAATAATGAAAAGGTGATATCAGTAATGATTTTTTGAAATATGAACAGATTCTAACAATAATATAAGCACAAAAAACCGACTAAAAGTAAACTGGACTCCCGTACAATATTAACTTTTATAAACCTATAATATTTATAAACCTACAAAAAATAATATTAACGACTTCTTATTTGTATACTGTTCTTTTAGAATTTTAAACTTTTAGAATTTTTCATATATTATTAGTTTCAATTATCAAAAAGGGTTCAATTTATTAATTTACTGTTCGATCATGTAAGAATATTGGAAGAAAAGGTCATAACGAATTATCAAATAATGATAATTTTTTTTTTAGAAAAAGCGAAGTGATTTTTTTCTCGACAATGGCTAGAGGGTTGCCTTACAAATTAAGAGTGTGAGTACTTTTAGTGAGTACGTTTAACACCCAAAAACTCACCATGATTTGAATACCCCACACCCTTGCCGTCTCCTTGTAAGTATGAATATTTGTAAGTGTTGGATACAATCAAACGCATCCTAAATAATGATTAGCATATATTATTTTTCTTGTTTTTCTCTAAGAAGTTTGTGTATTACAATGATGGTTAGTTCAAACAATATATTGAAAATCCAGGAAGAGCAATATAAAAGTATAAAAATAAATGCATTCAAGCCCGTTCATGAGTTGTTACATACACATAAAAATAGCATACTGATCGAATTATTATTGTATCGATTATTTTATTTTATATGTCTTTTTTTTGTAATACCGCTTACTTAAAAAGTTAGATCATGGAATGACGTCACGCCGTCTCAACCCCAATCGATCTTTGTCCGATGAAGCTATATTTGATCAAAGTAAGAACTCTCTCCGCACAAATGATGGATGTAAGATATATTCCCGACGTAACTATCTCGGCTTACGTGTAAAAAATACTTCCGTATACTCCTCTCACCATTATAATATTATATCAATGAATGAATGAATGAATGGTAATTTCACGAGCACTAATCATAATAAACATTCTATTTATAAAAATTGAAATAAATAAATTACAGAAACCCTGTGTGTATTAAATTTAATTAAATGACAAATTAATACACACTGGTCATGTATGCCAGAACAATACATAAAGGGCTTGTTAAGCAAACTGTCGATTTTCAGCTAAACCTAAGTTTGGATTAGCGGGGAACCAAAGAAATTGTTTAAAATTTATTAATATATAAAGTTGTTATTGTATAAGTTAAATTTAAATAATTTTAGGTAATATAATAACAAAAAGCGTATAAAATAAGTTAATAAATATAAATTAAAATAAGAGTAACTTTTAAATATTAAATTATTAAGAATTACAAATGAAATTTCATTATAAATTTTTGACATCAAATACTAGTTAAATCTCTAACTATCTGTTACCTACGTGACATCAGTCAATTTCTTTTTGTTGGAATCATATCTATTTTTGAAATTCTGTTTACTCCTTTAGACGTTAAGAACATGCAAAACTTTTAATCATAGATGTAAGTAGCAGAAAGACAGCTAGTTATTAATAAAATACATAGATTTGGATATCACTTTGTTAGTCTTTTAAAGATAATAAATAACCTCGACTTTGTCTTCGATTCTTAAGCATCGTCAATGATAAAGTCGTACGCCCTTTTATTAGAATTTATTATAAAGAAGCCTTAGTTAAAAAATATTAAGAGTTTCATAACTCCCAATCAGAATTGCGATTTCCATTTACTATTAAATCTGTGAATTATACAATTGGTTTACTCGATGAAAAGACAAAGATAGAATGATCGCCGATTAACAATACAGCGTATGACTCATTGCGAAAACAATAAATTATCTCATAGTGATTTGCTTTCATGTCTGAAGCATTCTCGTACATCTGTCACTGTCACGCCATCCGCATTAAATAGATACAACTAAATGTAGAGTTCTATTAGATTTTCATCTGTAGGCCCTTCGCAGTGCCGCGGTCTATAAAACCGCTATAGAAACGAATATAATTTGCTTAGACTTCAAATTTCAGTTTCAATTTGATTCAAAGAGGCGGAGTGTTCAACAATTGTTTTTGCGAAAGTGTATTCTAATTTTAGTTGGAGTGATATTTATTTCGGAGAAATTCAAATCTTTTATCATCTTGGAGATGCTTTTTAAGGAATATCAAAAATAAATTCACTCCATGCGAGTTATGTAGATAGATTTTA